AGTCTGTTTTAATGTTTACGATGTATTTATTATTTCTATAAATATAATGTTTTATTACATGGTCGTAACATGTGATCGCCGGTGGGAGGGAACCAGTCTGAACCGGTCCGTTAAAAGAAACCACATGACTATGAAGCTATGTCCTCTTTCATAGTTTCTGAAAGAACACGGTCTCTACCTAATCTTTAAAAAATACTGCACAATATATTTTCTCTCTCTCTCTCTCTCTCTCTTTTTCTCTGTAAAATAAATAATGTCTATGAAACTGAATTAGTTTATTCGGGAAACACTAATAAGTAGTGTATAATGGAATTCTCGAAAGATCGATGTGACGTCACATCATGAGGCATTTGCCCTTCAAATTGTCTTTCCTGAACTGGGCTAAAGTTCGTCTCTCGCTTTGGAGACTGACGTTTCTAGACTTTTCCATGTTCAGAAGTTCTTGAAACATCTCTTTGACGTTGGTGTTGTTCTTGGCTGACGTTTCCATGAAATTGCAATTCCATTTGTGAGCTTGGGCCATGCCATCTTGGTATTGCACTTCGCGGTTTTCTTCCTCATCGTTCTTGTTGCCAACGAGCATCATGGGAATACCTTCAAGGTTACCCTATTGGAAAAAAAGACAATAAAAACATTAGTTGCAATTTAAAAACAACTATTGAAAGCACCAGCATTATTTGATGGTTTGTCCTAACTTTAATGTTTGGGTAACCATCCTAACGATGTTTACCCATCATATCTACTACATGTCCCAACATGAAGTGATAGAGACTGTAAATTCAACAATGCAAAACATTACCCTTACAAAAAGGTTTACAATGCAAAACATCACCCTTACAAAAACATTACAAAAGGTTACCCTATTGAAAAAAAAAGATAATAAAAACATTAGTTGCAATTTAAAAACAACTATTGAAAGCACCAGCATTATTTGATGGTTTGTCCATCCTAACTTTAATGTTTGGACAACCATCCTAACGATGCTTACCCATCCTGTCTACATGTCTCAACATGAAGTGATAGAGATTGTAAATTCAACGATGCAAAACCAGCATCTTTTTAGTAAATCAACATATTTCATCATGAAATGTTGCTATTTTTTGGAAAAACGAAAAATATGGAAAAACAATAGGACATAAGCATATTCTTGAAGTACAACCATCAGAGCAACACATCATGGAACGATGGAAACTTTTTTTTGCCTTTCAAAATCTATGTACACATGATAGAAATTATTGGATGATGATGTTTCATATTTATTCCTTACATATATATTTTAAAAACATTAAAAAAATATGCACATCAGGGGAATCATATTAATATTTAAGCAATGAAAAAAAAATTGTCATCAATCTCATGAATCAATATTGAGCTTTATCACAGCAAAGTAGAGATTAAAATAATTGAAAACTAGTTTACTTCGATTGAAGTCCTACTGAATACTGAAGTCCGCATTCACCTTCTGATTTTTAAACGACTGCAGTTTAATAAGGTGTTTACAGTGTCATCTGGTGGGAAAATGTAAAACCAACGATATCATTTTGTATACAATCATTTGAATCAATCATACGATATCATTTTGTATGCACGCATTCGTACTAAATTAGACAACTTTATAACCCATAGTGTTTCACCAGGTGGCGCTAAAAGCGGCTTCTAACCGTCGTTGAACAGCCGACCCTAATTTTTGAGTTTACGACCACTAATGTTCTACTCCGTAATTTTGAAACCAATCCAGAAGACAAGGGAACTCCTAAATCAAGTATTAGGAGAGATTTGTCTTCGTGGAGAACTTTTTGGTGGAACTAACCAGCATTTGTGTTACATGGCGAGGAAAACCACTCAAACCTCTTACGATTATACTGACGGCAAGGGGACTCTTACCCATGATCCGTCAACCACCGAGGATATTTTACGTCAGCACTGTGGTCGGTGCAAGCCGGACGCGGAATTCGTACCAACCAGCCATCGCTGGGATTTGAACCCGGTTCATCTCAATGGAAGGCAAACGCTTTATCCTCTGAGCCCTCACGGCTCAAGCGGCTTCTATTTTATTTTATAATTTTATAACCGTCGTTGAACAGCCGACCCAATTTTATGGGTTTACGACTACTAATGTTCAACTCCGTAGGCTTGTCATTTTGAATCCAATCCAGAAGACAAGGGAACTCCTGGCTCGAGTATAGGGAGAAATTTGCCATCGTGGAGGACTTCTTGATGGAGCTAATCCGCATTTGCGTTACATAAAGAGGAAGACCACGGACACCTTCCATCGTTAGCCTGACGGCAAGGAGACTCTAACCCATGATCCGTCTATCACTGAGGATATTTCACGTCAGCACTGTGGTCGGTGCAAGCCGGATGCGGAAGTCGTATCGACTGGGATTCGAACCCGGTTCACCTCATTGGAAGGTGAACGCTTTATAGCCTAATCCTCACGGCTCAACCAGCTTCCATTGTAGAGATTGGCACTTTACTTATGAATACCATTATCAATACGTGCAGCTGAAGCTGGTTAAGAGAATAAATACATATTTACTTATGCACAGTTAATACAGAACACCCTGAATGAATAAATAAAAGTTCAGTTCAGATGATCTTACCTTTACTTCTCTTATAAGAGCGTAGATTGGCGCAAGCTCTTCTAGACTTTGCTTGCTGGTGATGGCGTAGACTAGAATAAAAGCGTGTCCTTTACCAGTATTCAATCTCTGCATTGCTGGAAACTGGTGACTGCCTGTAGTGTCTGTTATTTGAAGAGTATATATATTCCTGTTACACGTGATCACCTGTAATAGAAAAAGCGAAATACTACTATGGCTTGAGGAGTATAATTAACATTAGCCTTTATTTCTTCTAATTGGCAAGATATATAAATCTTTTATAACCAATTAAACTGCATGTGTCTTAACGTACACACTCTTGTTGCTTTAATATGTGGACAGAAAAGAGACTTTCTAAAGTTACGCGTCAACAGTTTTTTTCTTTTTGTCAAATTCACTTGGAACTTTCATCAACTCCAAAATCATTCTAAGGTTGTGATTTTGTACATTCATCAATAAACAATATCATGTGTAGTTTATTGAGTGTGCAAACTGAATAACGGTTCTATATACACTCTATAACAAAAAAATCGACGCACCAAGGGTAATCATCCGATTGCTTTGAAATTTTGTATGCATGAATGTTTTGAACAGATATGGCTGGAATGATGCGGACTGGGGACGTATAGCCTTTAGCGACGAATCCAGCTTCCAACTGTGTCCTGACGATCATCAAAGGCGTGTTTGGAGACGCACAGGGCAGAGGAGGGATCCAGCCTTCACTATTGCACGCCACACCTGCCCTCAACAAGGCATTATGGTCTGGGGGGCCATTTCCTCTGACAGCCGGACGCCTTTGGTCGTCATTAGAGGTACACTTACTGCACAGTGGTACGTCGACGACATCCTAAGACCTGTTTTGCTACCGTTCCTTTTGCAGCGCCCTGGGCTGGTTTTTCAGCAGGACAATGCCAGACCACATACGGCACGTGTTGCTATGAACTGTCTGCAAGCTTGTCAAACTCTTCCTTGGCCTGCCAAATCACCAGATCTCTCTCCCATCGAACATGTCTGGGATGGCGATTGCATCTGGCACGGAATGTTGATGACCTCGTTCGACAATTGGATCGAATTTGGCAGGAAATACCGCAAGAGACCATCCGGGAGCTTTATCGGTCTATGCCACGCCGTGTGGCAGCTTGTATTCCGGCTGGAGGCGGATCAACACCTTATTGAACTTGTTACTGTAACTCTGCAATAAATAATTCAATTGTTCTGACATTTTAATCATTTACTATTCTGTACATTGTCTTTCCATCCACCAATTTTCGTTTCAATGGGACAACCCCTTCTTGGTGCGTCGATTTTTTTGTTATAGAGTGTAGTTAAGCAACACTCAGATAAAATTTATATAATTATCGTCTAATTTATTCAATCCTCGAACTTATAGTGCATATCGTCAAATTTAACCCATTGATACAAGAACGTAAACAAGTGCAAACCGGTTTCAGTGACGTAAAAACAATAAAGCTGTATAGTATCAACTGATAATTAAGATTTCACATAGTCCGTTTAATAATTTGGCCAATGACTTATGTACTGCGCATAAGCTGCAAGTAAATAGAACTCATAAAATAAGCTGTTCAAAAATAAGTTCTGTAATTTTTTCCATGTTGTCTCCACATTTTGAACTTATAAAATTACCGACTCCTTTGGTGCTTTTAAGATGAAACATTAATGTTTGTGAAAATTGCAACACCATGAAGGAATTACGCAAATTGTACCGAACTTACATGAAATGTGAAGCGAGGTAAGACATGATTAGAATTACAAATCGATTGTCCCTGTACCACTATTGCGCATGTTCCTTTATACCACTATAAGTAATAATATAAGATAAATTTATCGGATTTCTGACAATCTCTTCATAGTGCTACAAATTTCTACAAATATTAGTACAATCTTAACAAATTTTTTACAAAACAGTTTGGTAATAAAACCATATTTTATTAATATTTTTACGAAAAGTCATTCCCTAAGCGGTACATTTTTCATTATTCTGGTAATTTTGAGACAAAGCTATTATTTTCAGTGTATGAAGACTTTTAAGTTCCCAAATATAGCGCTTACGGCCACGTTTTTTTTAAAACTTTTATTGTGTACATATATGCATTTGTACTAACCATAGTACAAATATGTATTTGTACTATAGTTAGTACACACACAAGCTTCTATCTACTCTCCATCCCACACTATATTGCGATGGTACATACATAACTGATTAATACTCGACTAATACATGAGTCTAAACGCTGCTTAGATAGTTTAGACATAAAAAAATTATTCCCAATAGAAAACTTTGTGAAAAGCAAACCACAGCTGGCGGGGCTCTCAAAGCTGTTTTTACATCATTCAAAATTTTCAATAGTACTTATGTCTACAAATCTTAGCCATGTCTGCAAATTTTCGCTCAACTGGCCTTAGATTTTATATAAATTAACATAAGTTCAAAAATACAAGCGTTATAAAATGTGCAGATAAAAAATATAATTTTAATAATATAATTTTTCTTTGAAGCACATCTTTCTAAATTTAGGTATTTATTTCGATGCTTGGGGTAATGGCGTTACAAAAATTAAACAGAAAATTAAACAAAAACAACCTAAATGTAAACGTAATTAAACGTAACTCGAGAGCAAAAGCAATTTAATGTTTCTAATCCAATGCCAAGAGTTTCACCATGTTCTAATTCTTTAGATATTTTATAATTTTTATTTATTTATTTAACATTAGTGAAAACGAAAATTACATCAAATTGGCATTATAAAAGTTCCAAAATTTTTTAATATCATTTTCGTGTTATAGTCGTTATTTTTTATAAGCTTTTTATGATAGAAGGCCGAAAAGAACAAGATTGAAGTATTCCTATTAAAATAAATAAGTATCTAACTTTTTTCTCACTGACAAAAAATATCGTTGTTTTACGAAAGGCTTAACATAAGTGTCTATTACTTTATGTGCTTATATTAGACAGAATACAGACACATGTACATAAAGAGTATATAACCCCTTCCTTCCGTGAAAATGACGGGGTGAGGTTTCGCCCTCTGTTTCTCGCTCCCGTGATATTTCCGTGCTGGAGTGTTCAGTAGTAATGCGCCAATAAGAATAAAGCAAATTCATTTCTTTTGCCAGGAAAACATTTTATTTCTCATTTTACACACCAGATGGCAGTACCAGGATGCTTTTAAGGTAAGTGTAGATAGCTAGTTTATATTATTAGAAGAGAACAATAAGAAAGAACTGTAAGAACGAAACGCGTTACTACTGTCCAGATTGTGACGTTGGCCTCTGTATCTCATGCTTTGAAATTTATCACGCAAGAAAAATTACTAATCTTTATTTATATTATACGTAAGTTTAATAAAATTCTATTTTAATGTTTAAAACACAAATTTTTTAAATTTTCTTTGCTTGCTGGAAAACCAACATGAAGTCATAAAAGTTTTTTTTTTTTAAATTTCAAGCTGAAAACAAATTAAAAATGAATATATATATTGTTCATACACATATTTTTATATAATTTACAGGGATAAAAAAAATAGGCACTTTCATGACCGTTTTCTTGAAAATTAACCGATCATTATGGGGTTAAGTAATATTACAAATGTTCAAGTAATGTTGCATTCCTTAAACTTAAATCAATTATTTTTTTCAATTTCTTAAAAAATAGTTAATATCAGATCTCCATTTCTTTGTAAATTTAAATAGTACAAATAAAACAAAATTCAGTTTAATTTCGTCCTGCTTTTTTTTTTTTTACCCTTATGGTAATCATCCAGAGACCGCCTACTCTGGCGAACAATTTTGCTCTGGTATTCTTATTCGATTCATATCGATCCCGCTTTCACTAAAGTTCGAATCGAATGACGATGGAACAGCCCTATCATTTACAAATGCCGCTGCAAGGCATACGATTCCTTATTGGATTAAATGGGGACGACAGATCTGATTGAGAATCTGATTGGTTAGACGTGTCTGACTTAAGTCACGTGACTAAGAGATTTTTTAAGAAAATCTCCCCTCTCCCTACTCCTCAAACGATTTTAGAATTCCACTTTAGAATGTGGAAAGGAACGTTTTAATGCTTGAATCGAAGCAATAAAACTTTGTTTTAGAAGTAATTTAAAAACTATTTTAAAGAAATTGGTCTTAAAGTAAAAGGGAGAAATGAATGATAGTTCGAAGAATTTATTTGAAAGAAAACTTGGATAAGATATTTTTAAAAAATTCTTTCCTGAAAATACATGTCTAGAATAAAAATGTTAGTGAATTGTTGAGTCTGAGTGGTTTTATAACTAAGTGGTTTAATTCTGAGTGGTTTTATAACTAAGTAAAAAATTGTACCACTTATAAATTTTTATTTAGGTTATAATTTTCTCCAAATTCTTTTATTTCATTGTCCTCACGATGAAATAATACTAATCTTTTACGAAGTTTTTTAACAATCTTTTCGAAGAAAGGGACATTTTTTTAAAAACAAATGATAAACAACAATTAACCTTCCTGATAAACCTTCCTTTAAATTTTTTTCTTCACATAAATGGAATTGATAGTAAGTGAACTAGAAGAAAATGGTTTTTATAATTATGTTTAAAATAAATTACCTATTTCAAATAAATTTTGCATGTTTCTTTAAATCTCTAATAAAATAAAAAAAAAAGTTGCTGCCGCTGATAGAGAATTTTCACCCTGCATGCTTCTCATTATAAAAACGCAATAACTACTTAAACTGATGAAAATAAGGAATTTTACACACCTTTTAAAGAAATATTCAAAATACAGTTTGATATGGAATGACTATAGCAGACGAAACAGTTATTATGGTTTTTGCAGTCACCATCTCTTATACATGAAAAGTAGCCTGATATCTTTACTAGTTTAAATTTCAATTTATTTTTGGAATATTTAAGTAACTGACACTGAGGGAATTTTTCGGGCTTTTTTAGTGTAAAGGAAAAGCTAATCGCTGTCTAATTGTTTGTTTCTACGTGCTCTAAGGGTTAAAAAAAAATAAAAATTTCACCTTTTTAAAAAAAAAAAAAAAATTCGAATTAGTTTTGAAGTTACTGAATTTTAAAGTTTTTGTGTTGTAATAAAATTTATTTATACATTATCACTGAAAAGTTGGCGTACCATTACGTGAAAAGCTTCTAACTCCTCTAAAAATTTTCCCCGCGTCGTTT